GAGGGGCTCCTCTCTGCAGCCTCAGGGTCCTTTCCGCCTGTCTGACGCCCGCCCTCCCCACAGAGACCGGTTCCGGACCATGGTGAACGTGCTGGGAGACGCGTTTGGGACCGGCATCGTGGAGAAGCTCTCCAAGAAGGAGCTGCAGCAGATGGACGCGTCCTCCGACGTCAACATCGCGAACCCCTTTGCTTTGGAGTCCCCCGCGCCCGACGCCGACGACTCGGAGGTCAAGAAGTCCTATGTCAACGGGGGCTTCGCGGTAGACAAGTCCGATTCCATCTCATTCACCCAGACCTCACAGTTCTAGGACCCTGGCTTCCGACGACGGCGAGTGGGGCGGACATCGTCACCAGTGGACTCTTAGCCGACGGACACCTGGGAGGGGTGGACGGCACACCAGTGGCCAGCTGTACACTTGATTTGATATGCAGACAGACGTCCTGATTGTTCTCTGCCGGGACTCACGGCTCGCTCTCTCTCTCTCTCTGCGATTGGGGCCGCAGGGGTGGGGGCGGAAAGGAGTAGAGACAAGGACCGGGAGGTAGTCGGGGTCCTTGGCCCCTTCTGTTAGGCAGCGGTTGGAAGCGTGTGAACTAACAGCTGTCGGGGGCAGGTCATGGATGTGGAAGGGACATGGTTTTCTCCCGCGCAATCCAGTGTTTGGGGGCTTTTCTCCTTTTTTTTTTCTTCTAAATATTCTATCATTGATAACAAATTCGTACTCAGGCTTTATACTAGCATGACTTCCTTTTGACGTTTTTATAGATGACGACGATGCAGCTCCACAGGCGCCGGCTCATGTGCCCAAAGGTCCACCCTGAGTCCATCCCCCGCCAGTGACACTGCTCGGGAAGGAGACAGCCCAGCTTACAGTTCAGCAGTGGCAGTCTGAAGATGGGCGTAGGGATGGGGGAAGAGGGAGGCTTTTTTCAATGTACAGTGTGAACATGTGGGTCACTGAGAGCCCCGTGCTCAGTGTAGAGTCAGTGTGTGTGTGTGTGTACATATGTATGTATATATGTATATATGTGTGTGTATATATACATATATCTGTTTATATGCATATATGTGTGTGTGTTTTCATGAACTTTGCCAGACAGAAATCAGATTTGCACTGTCAATGTGAAATCAAGAATTTCTCCTTGTACTTGAGTAACCACGTCAATTCCAACGTTGACCGGCCCTGGGCCTCGTCAGAAATCCTCTCTCAGGAGCACAGGAACGAGAAGCCACGCGGGTTCGCTCGCTCCTTGACTGTCAGCCATGCCTTGGCACCACACAGCGTCTGTACCCTCGCACCCAGGGGCACCCACACCGGCTGTGTGCGAGATGGAATACAACACGGAGCACTCACATAAGGCTGTTTAACCAGCAGGGAGGCTCCACTCTCCCCA